ACTATGAAAGGGTCTATAAGAGATGATCAGTCTTATGGTGAGCAGAATACATAATCTGCATTTTCATGGGAAACACATTGGTGGTCTGTAAAGCTAAGAAAATTAAAAATCACTGCTTTAAAAGAGAGACAATGATAATCTTTTTGAAGTTCTATATTCAAAATCTGTGTTGCATTCCCAGCTCCCATAAATGTCATTTCATCTGCTTTAAAGAATACAACATTAAAAAACAACAGCAACAACAACAAACCTTTATTCTTCCCTTCCTATCTGTATTCTATTGTGTCATGAAGCCTGGAACCTAATTCATTTTATGTAAACAAACAAACAACAAAAAAATCCCACCCAGAAACCAAGCCACCAAGATTTTTTTTGGCTTGTTTTTAATGTTTCTTCCAGCATTTCTTGAGAAAGAGAGACAGAGAGGAAAGAAAAAGAGAGAAAAGAGAGAAAAGAGAGAAAGAAAGAAAGAAAGAGAGAGAAAAAGAGAGAGAAAAAGAAAGAGAGAGAGAAAGAGAGAAAGAGAGAAAGAGAGAAAGAGAGAAAGAAAGAAAGAAAGAAAGAAAGAAAGAAAGAAAGAAAGAAAGAAAGAAAGAAAGAAAGAAAGAAAGAAAGAAAGAAGGAAAGAAGGAAAGAAAGAAGGAAAGAAAGAAGGAAGGAAGGAAGGAAGGAAGGAAGGAAGGAAGGAAGGAAGGAAGGAAGGAAGGAAGGAAGGAAGGAAGGAAGGAAAGAAAGAAAGAAAGAAAGAAAGAAAGAAAGAAAGAAAGAAAGAAAGAAAGAAAGAAAGAAAGAAAGAAAGAAAGAAAGAAAGAAAGAAAGAAAGAAAGAAAGAAAGAAAGAAAGAAAGAAAGAAAGAAAGAAAGAAAGAAAGAAAGAAAGAAAGAAAGAAAGAAAGAAAGAAAGAAAGAAAGAAAGACTTTACTTCACTTTGAAGAAATTCAAGTGAAATGAAATACCTGGCAAAGAGGACTAGCTTCAAGGAATGCTTCTGTCTGACAGGATGATGGACTAGATGGTTAGTGTTTGCCATGATTATTTTCTATTGCTGAACCTAATTCAAAAGCTATGGATACAGAACCACATATTTCTGAATAACACAAGGTATCTGGGGGGGATAGGTCATCATCACTCTCCTTATTTCTTCTTCCTGGCTAGGAGCTGGAGATGAAGGGAGTACTCCCTTACTGTCAGTGCAGGACTATGCCAATCCAGAGGAACTGCAAAAGCTCAGAACCTGGTTGCCTTAGAGTCCGGTGTTAGTTTGATGTATTTTTCAGATGGTGCACTTTTCAGGCTCAGAATTTAGCGCAAAGTAATTCAGTTTTGAAATGAAGTTTTGAAGTGAAGTTTTGAAGAAGTCTAGGGAAATTTATATTGTTTTAACATCCATGTCAGAAGAGCAGGAGGGAAATGAAAATTACAGCTTGAGCTCCCTTAGATGCCCTTTTTTTAAAATTTAAGTCAGTGAATCAGACAGTCTGCTGATGGAATAGCCTTGGCAAAGTGCCTGAAAAGCTGTAGGAAAAAGTCATCTGTTGAAGGTAGTATTTGCAGAATCTGAACTTTTGCTTTATTACAGCACAATAAAATGAGCAATCAGTAGAGAATTGGGGATGTGGATGATTCGACATGCTACCCAAAGACCTCTGAAGTCAAACAGAGTTGAAGAGAAGGTCTTGAACAGTTGACCTAAAGTGATCTGTAAGGCTTAATTCCTGGCCTAAGAAAGCTTATATGTACAGGCCTGTGCGTTGTAGTGTGAGCTTGCTTAGAGTTCACTGGGTATAATATCTTCCAGCTGTGGAGGACAATGAATGCCTAAGTCCAAACTTCCTTCCTAAAAAGAAAGAAGTGCCTAGGTTTATCTAGTTATCCATTTAGAAAAACAGTTACAATACGAGGTCATGTGGCTAATTCTTTAAGTGCCTTTTGTGAAACTGTGGGGTACTTACAGTGTAGAGTTCATTTCTATTAACACCAACCTCAAGACCAAACCAGATGACACCAGATAGATCTTGTAGTCCAGTTAGTATTAAAGTCAAAAGGAATTGTTCAGCAGAGTTCACAGACATTGCTGTGTAAAGAGAAGATGGAAGATTCTCTGGGTCTGTGAGCTGCTTACAGCAAGGTCATTTTCCCTCTCTTCTCTCCCTTCTCTCTCTGTATCGCTGCTCTCCAGTTCATCAAAGGCAGTGGTTAGCGATGGTACATGCTGGGCTAGCTCACCCAGAGCTAGCCAGTAGTGGGAAGAAATCTCCATGTGGGAGGTAGCATATAAAATATTTCCACCATATGCCAGGGCATGTTAAGGGACACATCACAACCTAGAGTTTGGTTGGGACAAGGCAACAATGCACACCAAAACACAAGAAGGGGCTTAAGTACATAATTAATTCAAGTTTTAAAAAGAAAAAGCATTGGCCTTGTTGAAGATTGTGACAAAAAACACCCAAATTAGGAATACAGCAGAAGAAATCCTAATAAACCCCAGCCTTATCCAGAGGATGACTGGCATGAGACTTTTCAACATAGCTTTGCAGTCCTTGAAGATATTTCTAACTTGGATTGAGTCTGTGAAAAAGGGATCCTGCAATAATGTCAACGTTTACAGTACCCTAAAAAAGTACTTTGAAAGGTTAAATGATTTTCTTTTTTTGACAGAATCATTGATGATAATGAGGACATTGACTTAAAACCCTGGGACTTAAATTTCTTACTTTTTCTGCACGGTGTCTAGATGTAAGAACAGTTCTTAAGTTTGTTCCACCTGTGCTTAATCTATTACAAAACTTTTAAGCTATATCTAGGCTTTATCTACAGTTTAAGGAGCGTGAGATCAGCACTCCAGAGAGCAATTCTTTCTATTTACCTTAGACATCTGTCCCAGGATGGAATGAACACTTTCCAAGGCATCCCATTCTAATGTCCAATTAGAGAAGATTTAGATGGTTTAGATGATTAGTCTACATTAGACATCCTGTGTTTGTAGCAGGTAAAATGAAATCTACTGTGAACATCTTCCCAATCATTATTAGCAGAATTTTCAGAATGACCATTTTTACTGCTTCCCCACACATACACCCATAGGACAATTTCTTTAGCAAAGAGAAGTGTCTGCAAAAGAAGCGAGCAGTCGCAGACTTTAGGGAATAAAATCTTGTACGCTAACATGAACAATGGAAATAGCAATATGATAGGATGCTTTTACATTGTCCTAAATTATCCCACTCTGAAATCAGCTGTTGCACTTAGAGAATAAGAGTGTCACTGGTGATAAGCATCATAAGTTTTGTCACATGATTGTAGGTCCCTACTATCAATTACTGTACAAGATAAGGCGAAATCAGCTTCTTCATGAGGAAAAGAAAAAAAAAAAAGCCCAGTTAGTTCCCCTCTTACATCCCACTTAGATGGAAGTAAGAGGGATAATGGAGTAGAGGAGAAAACACATAAATCTAATATTCCGGCTATCTAAGATTTTTCTTTTACCGAAGCCTCTTTCTGACTACCTAGGGTAAGGATACAGGACAGTCAAACTAGAAGGATACATAAAAGTCACCAAAATGTGGCTCAGGTAAGGCAAAGAGAGAGAGAGAAAAAAAAAAAGGAGGAATATGGATTTTCTATGATGTCAGAAATGACACATTATGCTCTAATTCCATTCACTTTTGGTTCTGGCACCTGAGGTTTCTGCAGCTAATGGAATGGTATTGGTAAGCCCATTAGAGATGTTTTTCATCTCCCAGCTCTACACTCTTTTACACTATATGTGCATTTAAAACTTTCTCCCCAGTGACTTAATATTCCCTGAAGATGACAGTATCCTCAAAGAATTTTCAGCAACAGAAAAGTTAAGAAAACTTATTTGTATCACTTATTAATAAAGGGAGCAAGTTACTTGAGTCCCTGAATGCCACATTCAAATTTAATTTATTTAAACTACATTGTTTATTTGTTTGTTTAAAATAGGACATGGCTCATAATGACTGGCCTTTTAAAAATCTGGAGACATCCTGAAGTTGAGGTATGTTGTCTTTTTGGAAGCCACAGTATTTTTCCAGCCGTTGGAAAGTATCCAGGTACTGCTTACAGCCTTGAGTAGGGTAGAGGTTGCTCAGCTTCCTGTAGACTTCTTTCCTGAGAAGCGAAAGCCATTCAGTGTGACCCTCCTCAGTAAAAGCAGTACTTCTCTGCCATAGTTACAGGTTCCCAGAGAGGTGTAACCCCCCAACACAGGCAACTGTCTCAAAAAAATGAACTTAGGGCACATGGTGCTTGCAAGTTGGTGCCTGGATGTAGAGTGAGGTGTAAAGAGAAGATTTGTTTCCTCCTCCCTTCAGAAGCTGGGGTTTATTCAGCAAATCTGCTTTATTCCTTCACATAGCCTCATTAAATATAAAGGAGCTCTAATCCCAATTCAGAAACATCCACTTCTTAGGAATAAGGACATCAGAGGCTTAAGGTGAGTCACAGGGAAGGTGAGGTTGAAGCCCTCTCTGCATTATTCAATGATGCCAGTTGTTCTCTAATTGGCATTAAAAATGGTACAATTCGAAATGCTATCTCTCCATGCTGATTCCTAACCCATATTTACCTCCTACTACCCTCTTCCTAAAACAAAATACTTTTCTTGATACTGAAGTGTAACATCTGCACAGGCAAAGAGGTTCTTACTCTTGCCTGGCATGGACTATGTGTACGAAAATTTCTCAAAGCATTTAGCCAGTTACAAAGAAAGAGAGCAGCTGAAGAAAAATATCTAACCAGATTGGGCACAGGCTTCAAGCTTCTCCTAGGTTTGATGATGTTTGGATCCAGGACTGTGGTTTGGAATATATTTATCTGTTTCAAGATAAACAAGTAGTAATAGAATGGCAAAGAATCTTATAGAAATGGTTATTTTTGTTCAGTCATGGCCCTAGGGTGTTAGCAAATTTATAAACATTGTTTTATGAAAATTGAGATCATTCTTGGAAATGCTGGCTAAAACAAATGACCTTTTGTTGTTATTGTATTGTATTTTTGTGTGTGTGATGCTATTGTTGCTATGGAGGTGATAGCTAGTCCCTGGTAATGGCTCTCTGCATTTGTATGCACATCTTACACAGTCTGGGAGTAATGAACGAGAATGGGGGAGGCATAGAGGGAAGGAGAGTAAAAAAGTAGGGGAAAAATCAAAAGTGACTGGTGTCACTATTGCAAAAGCTGTAGGAGACTGGGCCATTTCCATTGAAGAGTTAGGAAAAACTGAGTACTGGAGTTCAAATGTTGTATTGGTCTATTTTTCATTGAATAATACTAACTTCAGTAGGATTGTACAGCTTCTAAACCAGTACAGAGTTCAGCCTCAGACTAAGGTCTAGAGAAGACAGGTTTATTTGCATCTGCTTGAAGACTTTGCACGTAAGTTCTCTTTTATCAAAGGTAAAACACTCTACTGTGTGTCCAAATATTGACTACCACAGAAATGTAGGTGGTCTCAGAGACCACCAGTGAGCTTGCTTTAGAGCCCCTGTTGAACTCTTGACAAAACATACATGTCCTGTCTCAGTCCTGTGTAGTCCTGCTCATGTGGGTGTTCATCCAGAATTAAGCATCCCTCATTCTAAGGCCCTCTAAGGCATCCATCTAAGTTCATACAGTGAATGGAGAAAAGCAAGTATCTCCAGAGGGCAGTTTCATTTGTTAACTTGTCCTTGTCTTAGACCAGATGTGTCACTGTTTGGGGATGCTAGTTTGATTATAAAAGAGCCCCAGACTAAAGAACCATCTTTTACATAAGTGAAGTAGAATGAAATGAAATCTATACTCAGATTTTTCTATCTCAATAAACAAATAACGTCAAGTCCAAGGATGTATTCTCATATATGTTTTTAAAAAAGAAAAGCAAAAATAGTGACCCTGGCTGAGGATTTGGTGCAGTGTTTGCTTTATGGTCACACTACTTCCAGCCTAAGCTTTTAGAAGACCATTAAGCTGTCACTTAATGGTCAGTCAATCCAGGGATAGAAAACAAAAAGTCCTGGAAGTTCAGGCTATTATAAACTCTAGAAAGAAGTCAATGAACAACAGAACCAGCCACTTAAAAGAATACCTTTATTTAGATAAACTTCCCCATTCTATTTAGAAGAAAAGTATCTTTGTTCAGCTTCATTACAAAAATGTGGCAGGTGCACCCCATAATTTTGTCCTAGATTCTCCTTTTCTCCTTGTCATATATTTTACCCATAAGGCATCTTTTACGATTGGTTAGCTTCAGAGCCTTCCAAGAAATCTGCCTGAAAACAGAAACTCAGCTCATCTGTACCCTCTGTTTTCACGTTTCTGCACTTGATTAGTTTTCATTTTTATAACCATGTTGCTACAAACTGAAGGCATCCAACGACTCTTCAGAGTTAACACCAAGGGAATTTAGTCTGGGCTACAAATTTCCTGTTCAATTTAACTATGCTCAATTAAGTCGTGCTGTAATGCAGCTGACCTCAGGGCACAGCACTAGGGAGCTGTGATCACCATTGGGAAGTCTAATTTTGGAAACAGCTTTACATAACAAGAAAACCTAGGTTACTGGGGCTGGCTCTTTGGGGAAATGGGCAGATATTCCTTTAAAAGGAGTTACCACACTGGGGCTAATTCTAGGTGGAGAAGGGCTGGAATGACAGAGGTTGGCAACAAACTAGAAAAACAGGAAAGAACACAAAATTAAATTTTCTTAAATATGACATTCTCACACACCATCCCATGCCAAGATTGTTGGCTGGTAGTAGCAATCATGCACATGACACTGACCATCAATCTTTGACAAATGAAAGATGCTGTAAAAACCTACTATTAGTGCTTAATAAAAAAGTGACCCCTGGGGTAAGTTAGACCCAAGGTTTCTCTATGACTGTGGACAACACCCCTCATGATTTCTGTGGCACAGTAGACTTATTTAAGATAAAATAACCACTGAAAAAGATGAGATGGCCCTGTCATTGATGTTCTGGTATAAGACTTTCAATATATGGATTGAATTTCTGGCTCTGATACAAACTTCCTGTATAATTTTGGACAAGTAACTCAAGGTTTCACTTTCTCAGTTCCACAGCTGAAAATGTGGCCATCATTCTTCCTTTCTCACACCTTTAGGCTGTCTTTCCATTTAGGTCATAAACTTTTCTGAGCTGACTCTCTCTTATTTTTGCATATGTGGTACCTTGCCTGACCCTTGGACCTTAGCTTGGACATTTGGACATAGTCGTGTTTATATTATCATACAAATATGTAATTATTGCTACTTACTGAGATTTGTAAAAATAGTTGAAGAGAATGGAAACAGAGGCTGATGAAATAAGAATTCTGCTTTCTTCCAAATCTAAGACGCATTTCGTGTAATGTTTGCAAACATACTTTGAATTGAATGATTTTTGGAGCTTTTTTTTTAGTGGCAAAACTTCAAGGGAAACAAATTCCTAATGCAGAAATGCTGAAGCCATGTGAAAGTAACTTGCCCATCATTCCCTACAACTTAAAAAAAAAAAAAAAACTTTTTACAGTAAAGTAATTCACCCTGGAAGAACACTCCAAAATCTCTTCTACCCTAAATTCTGGAGGATGATACTATTGAAGTTAACAGGAATGAAGACTTGGAGGAGAAGAAGTTAACAGGAATGAAGACTTGGAGGAGAAGAACAGGCAAGGCCAGTCTATCCTATAAACACTGGATTAGCAACATCCTACGAAGGAACTGTCCACGCATGGCCCAGAAGCTGGAGTATAAGCAATGAACTCACCAAGTTGCCGTCTCTTGTGCTGTGTACTTGATGTGAGACAAAGGTTCTCCTCTATGAAGAAGACAGTAAAAATGATGTTTCTAAAGTGGATTTCAAGTTCAATTTCCATGTATTATTTTCTTTGCCTATACCACGAATATTTGCTATAATGAAGACAGAGGCAACAAACTAGTACATACTTAACTGCTTTATATTGTTAGACTTTAATGTTTATGTGTTCTCCTCTCTTCCAGTGTGGTGAGAAAGCAGAAAGCTACGCTAATAAAAAAAAATCATGTTCTCCTTGATAGAAAAGAGACCTTAATTTCTGATCTTACCTCTACTGATGACACTCCAGCAACAAAAACACCATGTGTGCCTGGAGGGTCCATCCCCGGACACACTATCATCTCAGAGAATGACTCAAAAACTCACTAGCAGAGTTGTCCAGGCATACACTGCTTGTTTGTCAGTAGCTTCTCTGCATGGGTGACCTTACCTCCTCTTTCCCTTTGCTGCTTCTCCTGTAGCCCTGTAACTTCAGTGTGTACTTTTCTTCTCTTTTGCTATGTACAAAGCCTTATGCTTTGTAACTGAAAACAAGGTCAACAAAGAAAGCCCTTGGTTTTCTGTACTCTGGGTTTGTATAGCCCTGAATTAAAAAAAAATCAAAAAAAGTTTTATATTGAAAGTAATTTTTAGCTGGCAGAAACATTCAAAATGACTAGGTCTCAGTTTGGTGGCTTTTGCTGAAGAAATGAACTTGAGCCTTATAAACAGAGTAAGCCAAAGTCTGCTCTTGGTTACATCCATAACATTTTGCAGAAAATTTTGGGACTCTGCCCGGAAAGGAAAGTAGCATGGCTTGGTGGGAAGATTTTTGAGTTGTTTGTAAATGCTACAACACAGATAACTGCATTTACAGTCAAATTAAGTCAAGCTAATACTAAATCACTAATCACACTAATCACACTAAATCAAGATCACACTAATCACTATTGGATTAGGGACATCTCTTCATTTGGGGAATAACTGAGAGTCTAAGTCACTTCCCTCCCATGTTAAGAATGAAGATGACAGCACAGGACTGAGATGGGCATAAAAGTACTGAGTTTGGCACCACCTCACTATGCCTGTATGATAGTCTATGATCTGGGAGAGGAAGCGGTGATAAGCAGCTAAAAATCCCTAGAAGCATCACTGAACCTATAGAAAGTATAGGCATTCAGCTGCATCTCCTATTACCCATTTTTTTACCATGTTGTGTTAAAGGTGGATTCAGTTGTATGTGTTCAAAGGGTTTGTTTACTAAATAAGTTATTTTTTCCCCTCTGGATTTACCAGAAGTTAAGATTCAAGCAGGGTTTTCCAGCTATTAAACATGAACAGACATGTGGAATGAAATCCCTTTGAATTTTACATCATTCATAATAAGAATTAAATCTGAAATCTGGCATTATGCTATAAATATAACTCATAAAGCGGAGTTGATCAGCATCACTGTACAAATATTTATTATTCTAAAATATTCTGAATTTACTGGAATCTTTTTGCATACTAAAAGCCAAATTTCTCCCTTAGGTTTATTCACATAATTTTCAGTGTAGCAATAATACCAGTTATACTGCTGTTAATGAGTATTGTGTGCATGAATCTGAGAGAAGAACTGGATCCCAAGAGCATATTTACTTTTGTCATGTGTTAGGAATATTATGTCCATTCAGATGCCATCTTTGCTTGTCAGTAGCTGTATCACATCCATGCAAAACACATGGTAAAGCCATTGTTCAGACTCGTGTCCATGCTATGACCTCTCTAATTTATCCTGGCCCTGCACAGAGCTCTGTACTCACACTCGGAACAGCAGGAGCCTCCCCAGAGGAGCACCAGAGGCCATAGCCAAGTGTTAGGATGCCCCAGTAAATGGTGCTACAGGGTCATTTATTTTCTTTCTTTTTTTTTTTTTTTTTTGGCTATTAAAGAGACATGAGAGAGTAAAGTGGAGCCATTGGGATGGACATCCTAACCTGCATATTTGGTAATAAATGCATATGCAAAATCTCCGGAGAGCCAGATGCACATCAGTGCATTTGTCACTCTTCTTTGTTTTGAGCTTTGCTCAGCAGCACAGTCTATGACCCTGAATCCTGCCACACACAGATGATTTCCAGTGCTTGAGGCAATTCATTTCAAGCTGTTTTATGCATTTCTACATTGCACTGCACTATGCAGGGTGGATATATCCCCACTCTATACTTTGGTGACTCTGCTCCACTGTTAGTTTGGCTAACGCTGCTCCACCACTCTTTTCTAACACTCTCTTTGATGCTCACACCTTCCACTTGACAATGGAGGAGTGAGACTTAGTTTGACTGAGATCAGTCCTTAGTATGCTTTCATTAACTCCTCTAGGGTATTCTAGTTTCATAAATCATTCTCAAAATAGAAGGTGGATCTGGAAAGTCTTCTGTGCCACACAGAATTGTACAGAGCTCGTGAAAAAGAAAAAATAGTAGTTTGATTTATTTCTCTTGTAAACAGATTAGAACAACATTAATGCTGTGTTGCTTAATAGTAAAAGGACATAAATAAAATGGCCTAAACACAATTCAGACATGTAGGGAAGCGAAGAATAAAATCAGGTAGATTCTGTTGGCACCCATCTAAATTTTTACACTTTTCAGTGCAAATCTGAGTTTCGTTTTGTTTTCCTTTTCATGCAACACTTCTATAGTGGTTTTTACAGAAAACGCCAAATAATTACCGGAGATCAACCTTGGGAATCAAAAAACGGCCCTTTGGACTTCTTTTTTTATTTATATCAAATTATCATATTTCATCTATGCCAGAGGTGGAAATTCTTGATGAAAAATATTTTTGTTTGTTTGTTTCTTTTTTAACATGTTCCCAGTGCTTTGGCTTAGAATTTACCTCACTGGAGCATGGACTTTACAGTACATTTTTCCACTTCCTTCTTTATATTTTTCTGTTTATGAGAGGGCCACAAGCACAAACTTAGTGACAGCAAGGCCCTATTTTGTGTTCCAGCCATAACCAAGACTTACTGTCTGAAACCAAGGGAAAGTCCATCACAAACACTCTATCGATATTTTGCAGACATATCATATCCTTGTTCCAACATCTTGATAGAATTCAAGTGTAAGCAATGGTACAATGTTTGCAACATATTGCCAGTTTAAACTTTAGACACTTATCTCAACTGAAATCACTGGAACATTTTAAGCTTCTCCAATCACGCTTAAATCTCATCTCCACTATTACATCCAAGAATTGGTGCTGCCAGTGTATTGGTACAATTGGATAATGTTTGTAAATTTAAGCATCAACTTCATTTCTGCATGATCTGAGAACCTACTCTTCATTAGTTGCTAGCTCTTTCCCGCTCACCTTCATTGTCATCCCTTAAATGAGATTCTTTCCATGTACAGAAATAAAAAGGGAGATATGGACTGACTGAAGGGTCATAACATACAAAAGACAAACTGCTGAAGATTGAGGAATTTGCCTGTTATATGGACTATCCTAGCTCAGAGTGGACATACTTCACATATATCAGAGGTGAAATAATGAATAAAATATTTTAAAAAACAGAACAATGAAGTGCAAACACATGCTCAAGAAAATATTGAATAAAAAGGACTTCAGCATGTACTGGATGTTAATCATGTACTACGGTAAATCAGAGCCCATAAGCATTTTCCATTAGGTTATTAATTCTGCCATTCCTAATTTCACTGGAAAAATCTCTTTTTTTGACTTTTCCTGAGTATTTTTAATTCAAATTTCCATACACAGATTTCCACATAAAGACTTTCTTTCTGAGATAAAATGAGTTAACAGTGACTTCAAACTTACTGGATGCCTATTGTCCAAACTGGGGTCATACTTGGTGACCAGATAGTGGCACTTGCCCAGATCTTGCATTTTTCTGGGGAAGTAGGACACTGAAGAGAAAGTATAACTTAAGTGATATGGGATCCACTAATTTTAAAAGATAGAGAAAATAAATGTAGTACTGAGGGCAGCAAGCTAGCTAACAAGTTGATGTGTAGGTAATTGAGTTCCAAATAAATGTAGTACTGAGGGCAGCAAGCTTTCCTCATCAGTAACTAGCTAACAAGTTGATGTGTAGGTAACTGAGTTCCACTTCACTGACCAAACTGACAAACTAGATGAAAAATGATCCAAAGACTAAGATGAAATTATAATCTCTCAATTTCAATCATCAGAAATATTTTTAAAGGCAAAACCATTTTATTTTAGGCCAAATTAAAAGTCCTGTTTGATACAGCACAACATATTTTGTTCTTCTGTTTAAAAAAAAATTTTCATCTTTTCTAAAGAGTAGCCTTCAATTTTTATAATTTTGAAAGTGAAAATAATATCTTAAAGGAAAAATAGAATGTTTAAAATCATAGAAAGTAAAGAAGGTGTATTGACTTTTCTGGTATTTTCTTGCTGTTTTATTTTCCCTTTTTTTCAGCAAAACTATCCAAGCCCTATGTGAATTTCCAAACAGTTTGCTTTCCCTAAAGTGGGGCTTTTTATGATGACTAAAACAAACAGAAAGAGTGCCAGTTCTAATTTAAGTCCTAATATTTACGGCTGAAAAATTGAAAAGGAAAAAACAAATTAAAAAGGAGACTAGGTTAATGCCACTTTCTTGTATCAGACTGCTAGTGAGGTCAGATTCAGTTGTTACGGCTGAGAAAAGCTCCATTTGTAGTTGCTTGAATCTGATCTCATATCTATCATATCTGGACCGAATGTCAGATTTAGCTTTAGCCATATTAAACTGTATCTAAACACAGCTAGTGTGCAAAGGCTGCAATACTGATGTTGCTGTACAGGACGGCTGACTCTTTCAGGCAATGCTTAAAAAAAAAAAAAAAAAAAGGCCCAAGCTGCGTGAAATGTCTGGAGGAGCCCTTTGGTTCTCAAAATGACAAAAGCTTTCCCCCTTAGTTTGACCTAGGACTCTCTGAGGAGAATCCTGACCACATCCACCAAGGACTGTTCCTTTAAAAAAACACCATTTGCATGCCAGTTCTATGGGCTCAAATAAGCCCGTTTGGTTATATGCTTGTTCCAAACCCTAAGACAGAGAGGAATATGAGGAAAAATGTGTCTGTAATACTCCTTTGCTCCAACAGAGCCAGCCCTCTTCTTTTTTTGTGGTAGATCCCAGTCCCTGTACATCTGAAATTAACAGCTTCTTTAAGCACAGACATCTCAACATCTCCAAAATGCCTCTTCAACTTCAGAAAGCTCTTCCACTCTCTAATTTCCCTATCAACTGTGATGCCTTTTTGATGTCCTCTCATTTTCTCAGGACTGTCTAAATAGTCTTTAACATTCTGCTATACTCAGCCATCTGACACCTGCCAGTAAAAAAGACAAACACTTTTGTCTTTAGCAAACGCATTTGACATGCTGCAGACCAGTAAGGATGGTGGCTCAAATACGGCCCAAGCAACGGAGCATCCACTTGCAACATCTTGGCAGAGGGAAATATTGTTCTTAAACTGGAATCTTAGACGTTGCACAACCTTTTCACAAGAAAAATGCCTGATGATCTTTTATACACACTTGGCAGTGGATCTGCTCCCTGTAAGAACATCCCTTCTTCTCTGCTGCTCCCCATCTGCTTAGGACCTGTAGGCTCACTGATGATCCTCCCTTCTTTCTGTGCTCTGAAAGCTTCTCTCAGCTGGTTGCACTCCACTCCTTTCAGCTACAGAGCAATTTACCTCCAAAGGGTCCTATCAGATCCAAATGGCAGGAGCCAAGACACTATAAACAGAGAGCTGCTGAACTTCCTGTTTTGCTGTCTTTCTTTGTCATCTCCCCTCTTGCTGGAAAAGTGTCCCAGCATTTTTCTCACCCACTTCCCCAGCCTAGTTGAAATGGCTGTCTTTCCACACTGATGGAAATAGTCTCACTTAAGGGAAAACACTCACGAACTGAAGGAACGTGAACACATGCGCACCTGCTTTCCAGACTAATTAAAATACTATTATTGAGCTAACACTAAAAAATACCTCCAAAAAGAGCCAAAACAACACCATCTAATGCATATGTTTCTTACCTTTGGCTTCTCTGCTAGTTCTCACATCCTCTGCTATTCTTTTTAAGGAGGTGATAAGGATACTAACATCAGCACTATGAACTTCACATTCAACAAAAATGTCCAAGTCATCAGCAGAGTTCTTAGGCTTTTTGGCTTGTCTAGTTTCGAAGCGATGCATCTGAGCTTCAAAGGTCTGCAAGAGCCAGATGTTAATACGGTGAAGCTTCTCCAAGGACTGAAAAGCCAAGTATGTCTAGACACACGTCTAATACATCTTTACAAGATGGCTAAAAGAGGTTTTAACAAGAAGCGCATGTTAAGCAATGGACCCAGCAATGCCCAGATTAGAAATAGCTTATACCAATACAGAGCTAAAGATGAAACACTGCAGAATTAGGCAGAGATAGATGGAGATGAAAGATGAGACACTGTTGACTCTGGCACTTCACCTGGGCAGAAATAGCAAATGAGTGACTGGGTAACTCTGAGAGCCTGTCAGAATGAAAATAGATCTATTGATGTATAATAACACCATAATCATTAAACAACTAAAAACAACAAAAATAAGCCAAAAAACCCCACAATACTTTTCTTTTGATTTATTCGTTTTCACAGATAAGACTGAGCACCTGGTAGGGATGTTTCATGTGCCCAGATTTTTTAATGCCTGTATAGTTTACTGCTCTTGTATTCTCTGTATCCCCTGCCAAATATTCACTGAAAATCTGTTGTCTCCTAACTATCCCCTCAATCAATCTGCAGTACTCATTCTTGAAATGTTGGCCTGCTGTTTAGCAGTGGTTGGTCACCATAACTGCTTGAAAGAAACATTACACTTGTATCTGCTCTGAGTATACAGCTCTCACATAAAACAGCTGTTCTTCTAAACAACTGTGTCCAGCTGCTCCCTACTTCCAGCACACTCTCCTTTCCCTGAAGAGGTCATCCAACCTCTATGGGCTGCTGGGAGCACAACAGAGATGATGAGAAAGAGGGAAAGCAAGAAGAAGATGTCAGGATCACAGGCAAGGAGAGAGGGAAGAGTTAAAAATGGGGGGATACAGGCTGGGAGAGGAGAAGGCAATAGGAGTGGAACAGAGGGGTTTGGTAGGGGAAGGGAATGGCAGGCAGGTGATTTGTACCTCAAAGACTTCAGCTGCTCCAGAGAGCTCAGTCTTCCTCACATTGCAGAATGTGACAGGATGAAAGTGGCTCTTCCATCCTCATCGTGTCCCAGAATGTCTCGCCTGTTCAAGGACTCTGGGCAACACATCTCCTTCTCCTTGCTTGCCTCTCCCCTTTGGGTTGGAATCCCCACAAAGCCAGTATTCATTGGGAGTCAGGAGAGCAGATTGTGATGGCCAGCTGGTGAGTGGAAGCTGACTGAGGATGTGAGTGCAGCTTCCAGGGTAATGGCCAGGAGATGTGGTGGGAGCACTGTTGCACTGGGCTTATGTGGGTGGTGTGAACAGAGCTGCCAGACAGCAGCAAGTGGAGCTGGCTTCTACTGTGTGAGATGTGGGGACATTTATGTTGGCTATGCCAGACGCATCAAGAGAAATTGCCTGCGTAGGTTGTGTGCAAGAGCCCAAGAAAACCTCCCTTCTCTGGGTAACTCCAAAGCAGGGCTCTCCTGCTCTGTTTGAAAGTGTCTTAAAGCCATTCATCACCGAGGATGGGTTTTGTCAAGAGCCAGTTTGCCTGAGCCCTTTTTAGATTTCCTATTTTGGATTGTTCTGCCCTATTATCTAAGACTGCCCTTCCTTCCCCTCCTTTCTTACCCCACAGGGGGTGTTCTGTGAGCTTGACATGCTCCAACTCCTAGGGATCCTTCCCCAGTTCCTAGTCCCATCTAAGTGATGTGCTTTCTGTGTATATACACAGCTGTGGGAACAGATATACTGTACCCAGAAGACATGAGCCAAAGTCAAAATTCTCTGACTACTGCTGAGCTTTTCCTTAGAGTCTGACCTGTCCTGACCCAGGCCCACAGGGGCTGAGTGCTCCCTCTAAGCTAAGCTCCACTACTGGAATCAGGTAGAGCTTGTTTTTATCACGATTTTACAGCTAGAAAAATAGCTGCTCAAAAAACCCAGGGTCCATACTCCTCACGGCTGGCAGGGCAGATATAAGGAGTAGTTCAGCTCTGTACCTGCCGGGGCAGGGCATCCCTTGTCATACGTAAACACATTCCTGTGTCTGTGTCTTCCTACCCCAAGTTCAGGTGAACTTGGACTTCTGAGAAAAGCCAGCAGGCTGGCCCACAGGGAAAGCCATTGGTCTGTATTTGCACATGTAGATAGGCTTTCCAATGCACCTCACGTTAATGCTGGCTCGGTCACACTCCCCAGTGTTGTCTCACTCCTGATTCTTCCTTAGACACAGAAGTCAGAGCAACGGTCAACAAATTTTGCTCTCCAAAGACCACGACATCACTGATTTTCTACTTGCTTCCAGACACAGTACTCAGGAGGACTCGACTGTCCCAGCTAGAGCCTGGGCCAATGGCCAATGTCATCACTCCTTCCCCAGGGTGAACCGTGCAGGTGAGGGGAGGGCAGGTAAGCAAGGAGGGATGGGCTGCAGAGGAAAAAAAGGGTTCCTCGCCCTCCTGCCTCCCCTCCAGAAATGGGGAGAGGGTAGGAAAACAAACCAACCTAACCATGATTGTTTGAATCTGGCTTGGGCCTGCTCTACAGAGGGTTGCTACATGATTGCCCAAGTATCAGACATGAACATAACCCAGATGTCCACATGTGACTCTTGCTCCAGCCATATGTGGACAAACAGAACACAAAAGAGTTTGAGATGCATCTCTGAGGCACTGGCTACAGGTACTAGTGAGGGAAGGCAATCAGATTCCAATGGCTTTCCAGTGTCACAATCTAATGCCAAAATCCCAACTCTACATCTCTGTACAGCACCAGTAACTGTGCAAATTCCAGTAACGTGTGAATTCTTTTGCGTGAATTGATACCACTTTGTAGAGTCGAACCGGACTCATGACCTAACTGTGAGAGCTGAAGCTGCACAGGCAGAGCTTATGGTGGGACTGTGGGCTGTGCTTTACAGCCTTTTGCAGACCCAGCAGAGGAAGCCCTGGCTCTCCATGCTTCCCCAGCATAGAGACTGGACACTCAAGTGTCACCCTGAACTAGGCTTAGGGCAGGCCCAGGAAGACCTATCCCATGGGCTGTAGCGCAGGCCTGCTGGGACATACCATGTCCAGAATTGTGAATATCTTTCCTGCCCACAGAGACAGGCAGGTCCTCCCTCTGGAAGGTGGAGGTCTTCTACCTCAAGAGTGGGCTCAACCCTAGCTGTTCAGCCTTTGGGGTGAGCATGTCAGAAGACCACTGCCCCAGGCAAACTGCCTAGATCTGTTTCCATGGTAAAAACCATCATTAGGTATGAGCACAATGTTATTCAGATGAAACAGATGGAGTATTAATGTTTGTATTTATTTAGGTTAAATGAAAAGGTTACATTTGGACATTAAAAAAGTCTTCTCTGCCAAGTGCCAGCAGAATTAGAAGGAGGGATGAGACACAGTGACAGGCTTTAAAAAAATGCATCGTTTTGTACTCCTTTCTTTCAATAGTTTCTGCATCCTTTGGGGAATAAACCATCCCTACGCTCAGGCTGCTGCCCAATGTAGGCATCTTAGCATGCCCAGAGCAGACCATTCTCCTCTGTAACCTGTGCTGACTCCACCTCTTGCCTCATCATCTGCCCTTGACCTTGGTCTTGCCAAAGGAAGAAGGCCCCATGAGAGGTCTTCTTTATTCATCTGACAGGGAGCTGGAGGGGAGAAAACCCCCTCAGTATCACTGTAGATTTACTGCCACTGTCATGCATAGCAGCAGCTTATAGGAGAATTATTTCAAAAGACTTCACACTTCGGATGAAATTGTCCTTTTGCGGTACTGTTACCTTATGGCTTCTCTAATACCAGGAGAGAGAAAGGTGGGCTACATTCACACTGAAAATACATGCCAAGCAGCACTGAATGATCTACACAGACATCATGAGGAGTAAAAAAGAAGAAAAAAGAGATACAGAGATAAAAAAGCATACTTCAAAGCACCAAAATGATACCATTTTGCATAAGTATAGATCTATTGAAAAGGGCTCCAGCTGCTATCCTTAGATTAATGTTATTACCCACCATAAACAAAATGGCAACAGCTGTACTTTCTGTCTTCCCAAAGGATGATGCTTACATTAAAGCTCCATTGATTTTCAAACTATAAATACTAAAGTGGTATAATAGTAGGTATGAGATTTTGTGGACTTTTAAATCCACCTCCATCTTTGTGTCTTCTGACAGAAACATGAATTTTTGAATCATTTCAGGGTCATGATTCCAACTGTTTCAAGCTGGAGATACCGTTCAGCTTTGCTTTGATCCATTCAGTTCCAATGTGTGGGTGCTGACTTCCTTTGTTCTTGAATGAGGGAACTACAGCATCTACACTGTAGACCAGTTCAAGAAGGCATTTAGATGCCTTGAGTGAAAATTATTGCATAAAATGCAGAGATAGTCTTCTTGAAATCAAAGCTGTTCTCTCTCTCATTCAGCCACTTCATTAAGTTGCAGCAGGGCTGAATAAGGCATTGCTGTTAAAGCATCTGCATGGTTTCCTGATGGCACAAAATGTCAGCAAGTGACCTCACATCCACTTGCAAAAAGCCACACAAATCCGTGGGTAACTCTTCTCTAAAAGTGTATCTTTTTTTTTTTTTTTTTTTTTTTTTTTTTGTGGGTACTATGCAGGTATTTCATTCCCTGAATAGGCAGTCTCAGTGCTTTGCTTAGGGACTCCTTTCTGCGAGTCAAATATATCACAGCATTCTTGGCCTGCACAAACCTTTTGGGAACTGGGGCCTGTGCAAAAGGAGTAGATTAAGACAGGACCATAAATCTTCGTTAATGAGGCTGCAAAATACTTGCTGTCTTTTCCAGTAGCAACTGTGCTTTGGATCAATGTAACATTACCTTTGAAAAAAAAAAAAAGTAAAATTACTTCAGCAAAGAGGAATTGCTTCAGCTCATGCATAGACGAAGAGGTATAGTTCCACCTTGGAAAGGTCAAGGTGTAAAGGGCAAAGCATTATAATGTATCTCCCAAAAGGTGCAGAGCTTGGGACTCAAGAGGAGTGTGAGCAACTGCAAATATGAGGGACTGACAGGAGGAAGACTGTGAGAGGAAGCAAGATGAATTAGTCTGTGCTTGTCGTTATCTTTCTGGCCCTGTGCCCTAGGTGGTAATGTAATCCTACATCTGCGGCAGACTGTAGCTCTGCAGTGTCATGGAAAACTCTGATAGCCTTTAGCAAAGAGATATGAAGGATTTGCCAAGCTCCCAGTGATAAGGTGGTTTTATGCAATAGTGAGAGAAAATCATTATTGTATGAAGCCCAAGAGAGTCAAGGGTCACCTGCAGGTGTTTCTTTCTCTGCTAATCTACAGTAATTAAGATATATAACATAAGCATTTATGCAGTACACAGTAAGCTAATAGACTGAGGCTAGATGAAGCCTGACATTTGTACATGGCAGCTTTTTAATCAGCTGCCATCAGTGATTGGCAAGACTTGTGGCAAATCTTCATTTTATCTTCTGAAGAGCATTGCACAGGATTCCCATCTCACCTGCAAAGGAAATAACCAGAGTAGTTAATCCTACAGCTAAACCAATACTAACACTGCTATATAGATTTACCATTTATATCCATTTCCTGAAAGGATAAGGTGAGTAAAGAAGTGCTGGACTGCAGTCAGTCCCTCACCTTCATTAACCATAAAAAGATTGCTCGCAGGATCAGGAATGACAACTCTTGTCATATCAGCCAGTTTTAGGTGGAAAATCTGGTAGGAGAAAGGCTAGAATCACTAAGGAAAATGTGGCTAAAACCAAACATTTCCCTTCCTTACTAAGAAGAGGTAGAGCCACAGAGTCCATTCCCAGGCCCTGCAGCCTTTCCTAGTCCTTCCAATAAAACTCGGTATTTCAGATATGAAAAACTATAGTCAAGTGGAAAAGATATTTTGAAGCTTGGTTTGAATTGAAGTATTTTTTTTTTTGCCATAAAGGATACGTCTGCTGTATGATCCTGGTCAAGCTTAAAGCCTAAAGGGCATCCAGATAAAATTTGCATTGCAGTATTATTTCTGACCCAAATTCTGAGGCATTCAAGGTAGCAAATTTGTAGTTCCTTACTGTTGATAGTGTCAGCTAAGTTCTTCAGCTGCTTTGCATTGTCTAGGACTTCAATCCTCTGTGTGTAGGGATTGTACCGAACAGAGAAAGGACGAGGGATTGTTGAAGCAAATTTCCTGAGGGAAAAACAGAAAAACACATACAAACATGAAATAGTCCCTTTTTTTTTCAGTAACTCTCTCTTAGCTGGTGAGTGCTTTTTTGATGTGAGGGATAAGGAAATTATGTTGAAAAAAAGACTAAAATTCTTGCTAAGTGATCTGAGACCATCTGCGTGCTGTAATATGCCTGAATCTGCATTCGTGCTTACTGTTTTTTTTTCCCAAGAACTAATTATGCTGTTGACGTGGGAACACTGCTGCTGATATAAGCCAAGTAAGTAGCTATCAGGATTTGCTGTGAATATCTGATTTTCCTTTCAGTAATAGGAGATATGAGTCCTGACCCATGTTTGCACTTTCTGGAAAGGTGAGATCAAACACTCATTCAGGCATACCTTGGAGTAAGAAGTGGACTAACTTCTCACATAGCTAGTATTGGCTCCCAGATCTCTGCAAAGTTGGAGATGGTCAGTGGACCGAAGCAGCAG